AATACCTTTGTTATTGATTTCTAGCTTAATTCCACTGTTACTGGAATTAAGAATCTTTGTTACTGATTTCTAACTTCCATTGTGGATGGAAGAACCAGGCTTTGTATCATTTCAACTTATTTAAATCTTAAGGTTTGTTTTATGGCATAGAACATAAGTCTGTCTTGGTGAATGCTCCACATGCACTTGAAAAGAATGTATATTCTGCTGTTGTTGGGTAGAATATTCTACAAATGTCAATTAGGTTAAGTTGGCTAATAATACTTTTCAGGTCTTCTATATACTGCTTTTCTGTCAATTCATTATGTTGAATAAGAGTATAAAGGCAGGGACCATTCAGAACATAAAAATCCTTTCTAGCTTAGTTAAGGAGTCTGAAGCTTACTCTCAGTTATGGGAAACTGTTGAAAAATTAGTCTTAAGAAATGGAGTAACACGATGAAATTTTTATTTTTTGAAAAATTAACAGGGTGGAAAAATAGGTTGGAAAAGAGCCAAGCTAGAGATGTGAAAAACCAATATGGACGTTTTTAACAAAAACCAAGGAGAAAACTGTATTTGAATTAAGGCAGTGGCTTTGAGAATGATCAAGAAGAAACATCCTTAAGAGATATTATGAGAAAAGAATCACACAAATCAGATAACCAGTTGGATGAGGGATGGAGAGGAATGGATAAGAGGGAGAAAAATATGGCTCTAATTTCCTGGCTTGTATATAGAGATAATATTTACCAAAATTATGGAAATACAGGAAAAGAAAAGGATTTAGCAGGAAGGATAAATTCCCAATTTTAACATGTTGAGATTAAGGTTCTTATGAAGTATTCATATAAGATGTCCAATAAGCAAACTGGGGTCAGCAGAGAGATCTAATCTATAGATATAAATTTATGAGTCATCAGCACTTATTATTGAAACCATGGGTTTAGATAAAGTTACTAAAGAATAGTATATAAAACGGCTTCACTCAAAATGTCATCCAAGGACAATCTGCAGAAGCACTCAATAAAATGCAGGTTCCTAGGCACTATTCTAGATTTAATCTCTGTGCTCCAGGTTTCACAAGGCTGAAACAAGGTGGTGGCAGGACTGCGTTCCTTACTGAAAGCTCGAGGGGAGAATCCACTGCCAGGCTCATTCAGGTTGTAGCAGAATTCAGTTCCATTCAGCTCTAAAACTGAGGTCCTCATTTCCTTGCTGGTTGTTACCTGTGGACCACCTTCAGTTCCTCAAGGCCTCTATCTGGTTTTGCAGGTAGCCCCCTACATCCCAGAACCAGCAAAAGTTTGTCCTTCTCACATTACCACATCTCTGACTCTTCTATTTTCCTCTTCCACTTTGTGTGCCCATGTGATTGATTACACTAGGCTCTCCCAGATAATCTAAAATAATCTTCCTTAGATCCGTAACCTTTATTCCATCTGCAAAGTTCCTTTTGTCACACAATATAATACAACCACAGGTTACGGGGATTAGGGCATGGCATCCTTGAGCAGTCAGTATCCTGCCTACCGTAAGACACTATGAGCATTCTGATACAAGTCTTTTTGTAGACATATGTTTTCATTTCTCTTGAGTAAACAAGCAGGAGTGGAACTTCTGGGTCACAGCAGATATATGCTTAACTTTATAGGACACTGCAAATATTTTTCTAACATGATTTTACAATTTTATACTGCAACCAGCAATGCAAGAGTATGAGAGTTCCAGTTGCTCCACATCCTTGCCAATATTTGATGCGGTCAGCCTGTTTGATTTCAGCCTTTTTAGCGTGTAATACTAAACATAATAGTATTTCATTTGGTTTTAATTTGCAATTCCCTGAAAACTAACCATGTTGAACACTTTTTCATAGGCATGTTAGCCATTTACATATTTTTTTTGTTAAGTGTGTTTTTAAGTCTTTTGCCCATTTTTAAATTGGATTGTTTGTGTTTTTTTTAATGTTCTCAGTTCTTTATACATTCTGGAAACAACTCCTTTATCAGATATACATACGTATATACTACAGATACCTTCCCTGAGTCCATGACTTATCTATTAATTTTCTTAAAGGTAACTCTTGATGAACAGTTTTAATTTTGATAAAATCTTTTATTATATTTTTTTTCTTTTATGGTTACTGCATTCTGCATCCTATCTGAGAAATAATTGCCCACCTCAAAGTTACAGATTTTTTTTATTATTTGGTCTAAAAGACATTTTTTGCTTTAGCTTTTACCTTCAGTTCTATGATCCACCTCAAGTTAATTTTTGTGTATTGGGTGAGATAGGAAGTTGACTTTTTTCCTATATGGATATCCCATAATTCCGGTACCATTTGTTGAAACCATGTTCCTTTCCCCATTGAATTGACTTTGTGCCTTGTTCAAAAATCAATTGACTGTATACGTATGGACCAATTTCTGGACTCTCTATTCCATTCCATTGATCTACTTGTCTATCCTATGTAAATACCACAGTGTCTTGATTATTGTAGCTTTATAGTAAGTCTTGGTAGTATAAGTTTTCCCGTTTTGTTCTTCCTTTTCAAGATGGACTATTCTAGATCCTTAACACTTCCATATAATTTAGAGTCAGCTTGCCAATTTTCACTTAAAAAAGTGTTTGAGATTATGAATGTGATTACATTAAGTCTGAAATACTCACTTTAAATAAAGAATAGAGGAGAAATTATGAAGAGACTAAGAAAGATACAAAAAGTAACAAAAGAGAGATTATGACTACAAGATGAAACAAATATTCAAAAGTTCTATTACATTTAACAATAGGGAGGCTACTGGGGCCTTCATAATGGTAGCTTCACTGCCCTGGTTGGAGAAGAAACCAGACTGAAATTAAACATCATTTTGCCCTTGCATTCTTATTAATAAAACTTGAATTGTAGCTGGGCACACAGATAACTGAATAAAGACTGCATCATCTTTCTTTCCTTCTAGTTAAGTGTGGTCATTGACTAAGAACTGGCTGATGGAATATAAGTGGATGTGTCATATATAACTTCTAAGAAGTGTCCTTAAGGAGAAGAGTATGTGTCTTTCTTCGCCCTTCCCTCTTCCCTCTCAATAGAATTAGCAAGTGACAGCTGCAATTAAAGCAGCCATCTTAACCATGAGGCATCATGCTAAGGATGGCAGAGCAGCAAGAAAAAAGAATCTGTGTCCTTGATGATCATGGACCTGCTGCCATATGAGCCATGGACTGCCTGCCTATGCAATCATATGAATATTTAAGCCATGATTACCTTGTATTTTTTGTGTAATGCAGTTGTATCTAATCCTAACACACCACAGTTTTAAATATCTATATGCCAGTATTAAATAAAAATTACAGGACGCCATCATTTTGGACTAAGCTTCTATACTAAGCCCCAACAGACCAGATTAAAAATAAAAATGGCCGGATAACTGAACATGCGGCAGTTCCTGGAGAGTGGCGTGCCCAGGGACAGCATGGAAGCTCCGAGCCCCTTCTCCCATACCTTGCCCTATGCATCTCTTCATGTGAATCTTTTGTAAAATCCTTAATAATAAATGAGTAAATATAAGTGAGGAGATTGGACTGGAAAGAATGTTATTTGCTCAGGATTACACACTAGCATATGCCCAGAACTCAAAATTAGATGTTCTACCTTTTCAAGAGATTAATTAAACCAGTAGTTGTTTTGCAGCTATACAATAACCAGATTAGAATGGAATCAGTGTCAAGAAATAAAGAAGCTCCCTGGCTCTACAGGCCTCTGGCAGCATCCCCAAACCAACACAATAAGTTATTGTTTTCTCCTGCCTATATTTGCACATGGTCTATGTTACCTGGATTACTGACTAAAAACAAGTCTATGCCAGGAGGCAAAGGAGATCAAACCACAAGAGAAGTGCTCTGAAGTGCGGTGATAAAAGCTACATGGCACTTGCAGAAAACTATGGCTTCTTTTGTTGACCAGGGGTCAGCACGCATTTCCAGGTATCAATTATATCTATTGGGCTCATCTGTTGCAGAGCTACTGGCTTATGCAAATAATAAATTTTAAGCAAACCCATGAGTTCTAAAATGGCCTCTATGAGGGTGTGAGGAAAAGTAAACAGGCATGCAAGGATATGCACTGAAGGACGTTTTTTAACTTTGAAGGCTGTTATGAATAGTATCTTATTATTATTGATTCATAATTATTGGTGGTATACACAAGTTTTCTTAATTCAGAAATCTTCCTGAAGGCCATTTCTGACAGTCCCTAACCAAAGTAACCCTTCCAGTCACTTTTTATCATATCACCATCTGGTACCTTCTTGTTAACTGATTTGTGCCAGCAATAAAATTATTACTTGCTCAACATGGCACCCCAAGTGTCTAGGATAGTGTCTGGCACATATGAGATGCACAAAAATGTTTGTTGGATAAATGGATGAAGGTTTTAAATCTGAATGATTTGGAGAAACATAGGAAGAAAAGCAAGTTTTGAAGTAAGGGTGAGGGATGAAAGCTAGTTCAGTTGAGAGGTGGAGTTTGGATTACTCACAGGTCGTTAGTGTGCAAGCATCAGTCCAACACCTGGAGCTCATGAATGGCAGTTCAATGTGAAGGAACTCATAACATAGAGAACTGATTATCAAGGTGGAGAACGTAGAATGCATGTAAGAAGAAAAAGAGCAAAAAAAAGATACTTGGGAATAACTATACTTGGGGGCAGATTTTTAAAAAGAGAGTACAATATGAAAACCAAAGGGAAGAAAAGATTTGAGGAATAGAAAAAGGGAAATAAATGGAAAAGCTAGGTTCCTAAAGGATCACAGGAACACACGAAGTAAAAAGCAGAATGAGCTTAACTAGGGAAGCACAACTAAACTTAAGGAACAGAAAGCAAGAAGCTCATACCTCAGCTGGTAAAAATAATTAGAGAGGTCTATTAGACTACTGAGCAGAACTTGGGAAAGGAATTTTAGAACCTTCTAGGGTCCTTCACTTTTAAGTGACCGCTACCGGGTTCAGAGACCTAGACCTACCAGCATTCAATGTATTCAATTTCCCGGGTCAGAGACCGAGCAAGAAGCTGCGGTCGGAAGGCTCGGATTGGAATGATGAGGCTGTTTCCTCCTTGTCATTACCCTTCCGTGACTACCAAGCCAGGACGATGTGCCGGCGGGTGCTCTCCTCTGAGCCTCGACAGCAAGCAGCGAAGGGCAGCGACCGAGAAAGAAGAGTCAGGCTCGCGAGGACTGAAGAGAGGCCCTCACGCCCCGAGACGGGTCCGTGGGTCGGTCAGGGGCCGCGCGCCCCCACCCGGGCGCCCCAATCCTGCCCGGACCCGCCCTCCCCACTCCGCGCCGCCCCCGGCTGCGCCGACGCCCTCGTCCGCCCCACGAGCCCGGCCTCCTCTCCTACCTGCCGTTACGCGGACTCGGCTCGCCCCCAACCGCTCACCGGGGACCCAGTCGGCGGGGAAGCCCACCCCTCAGCGCCGCGCCCAACCCGCGCCCTCCACCCGGCGGAGGGTGGCACGTGACCCCACCCCACCGGGCCCCGCCCCCTCAGCGCGCTCCTCCCACAAGAGCGTCCCTGGCGCGATGACGTAGCTTGCGCAGGCGCACTCTTTCGGCAACGCGGAGGCGCCGCTGGGTGTGTGGGCGGAGGTGCGTGTTCACCCTCTGAGCAAGTGGGGAAAGTGGGGTGCAGGGAGGACGGAGGGGTCCCGAAAAAAGAGGGGGGAAGGAAAAGAGACCCAGAAGTCTGTGCTCCTGGTGCGGGGGTGGAGGGCGGTTTCTCGCAGTCGTTTAACCGAGGATTTCCTGCGGGGGCCACTCTACCCGCTCTCAGGGGTAGCAGTTGACGGGTTAATTTGGCCAGCGTGCTGCGGGGCGTTTCCTTGGAGCGCAGAGCCTTGGACGTGCTTTGTTTAGTGAAGGAACGTGAGGTCTGGAGACCTGGCTTGTCTTCTTTTTTTTCCCCTCCTGGAACTGTGGCTTAATCTCACCACTCGATCTCCTCTGTGAAAATGAGATGGTTGGACTCACTACGTACTTTTTGGATTTTTTTGTTTTTGGTTTTTTTGGCCTGCGGGTATTGGGATCGAACCCGACCTTGGGGTTACCAGCACCACGTCGCTATGTAATTTTGGAGGCCTCTTTCAGAACTACTGTGATGTCCACCTCCCGGGATCTTACCTTTATCATTCACCTGGATGGGGAAAGAAATTCGTTCAGTAGTGACCATATTTTACTGAATTGAGCACACCGATGTGTAGTTATGCCACTTGCTTTCATTAGGATGAATTGACCGTGCGTAGAATTTGTTTGCAAGTAAGAGTAGTGCATTATTAATAATCCACTTTAATTTTGTTAAAAAAAATCGGAAAGTCTATGTTTTCTTATGATTAGCTCTGTCTTTCATAGACTTAACTGTTTAATATTTAATATCAACTTAATATTTTGCCTCATTTCAGAGGTAAATCCCCGAAGTATATTGAAGTTGATGCTTTTGAATTTTGTGTCACCTTATCCTTTTTATTAGCATTCTTGAGGTCATCTGCATCTTCTGACTGGGAAAAGATGGTCAACGTCTTGAAAGGAGTGCTTATAGAATGGTTAGTAGTTTTGATACTTCATTGTGAATTTTAAATGTACCTATTGAGTCTTGACTTATATGTGTGAGTGTACCTTTCTAGAATCCTGTCCATATTTTTTTACTTTTAAGATGTGAATGAGGGCTGGCCCGGTGGCGCACTGGATAGTGTGCTGCTTGGGAAGCGTGGCGGCGCTCCCGCCTGAGGGTTCGGATCCCACATGTGGACCGGTGCCCGCTCACTGGCTGAGCGAGACGCGGGAGCGACACCGAGGGTTGCGATCCCGTTGCCGGTTCCCGGTCCGGTACAGGGGCAACACTGAGGGTTGCGATCCGTTGCCGGACACGGAAAAAAAAAAAAAAAAAAAAAAAAAAAAAAAAAGATGTGAATGAAAGTAAGTCTTTCAGCTTTCTCAACTTTAATTTTCTTACTTAACAAGTGGGAAAGATTTTGTTGCTAAGTTTCTTCCTGGCGCCAAATTTCAGTATCTCTTGAATTGAAGTAATTGGCATTATATCCAACAGCTTTTTATCAGAGGCAGCATATTTGTTAGATTAGTCCCCTTTAGAGGAACAGTGCTTATTTTGTCCCCAAACCTTTAGGACTTGACGAGAATTTTAGGGCCTGCAAGAGTATGAGAATTTGCCAAGGTCTTTACCATTACAAACTGCGGCCTTTAAAAAAGAAAGAAAAGCAAGAGAGCCTGTTGGAGAAGGTTTCTTGAACTCCTTTGCACACATTCCAAAGGAGAAACTAGAAACCATAATGGATAGGGTTGAAAGCAGTCTAACAGGGCATAGTTATCACGTAGTTGTGAAACCTGAACTGTGGATCAGTCTTTCTCAGTCTCCACTTGCTTGTTTGCCCCATCAGTAATTCTGTCTCGCCTGGGAACCCTGCCCTGTGGACACTCCCATTGTCTGAAAATTCTACTCTACCTTATTGTGCCCCTAATATGAGCCAGTGCAGGATAATGCAGTTGACTGTGATGGCAAGGCCCAGGAAAAGCAAGACCAAACCCTAGGACACATCCAACAGAGCATCACTGTCCAATAGAAATATAATGTGAGCCACATGTGCAGCCTTAAATTTTCTAGTAGCCACATTAAAAAGTAAAATGAAACAGATGAAATTAGTACATTTTATTTAAACCAGCATATCCAAAATGTTATTCCTTCCAACATGTACTGTCTTCCAAAAGAACTTCAAAGTCCAATGCATATTTTACTTTTACAGTACATCTCACAGACTAACCATATTTCAAGTGCCCTGTAGTAACATATGACTAGTGGGCTACCTTAAGGACAGTGCAGATTTAGAGTTTGGATAGAGAAGACACCAACAAAGGCAATTAAAGTATCTAGTGAAGTGGGAGAGAATCTCAGGAAGGAAGCGTTTCATGGAGGTGAGTAGGGTGTGTTGGGTGCTCATGAGAGAGAGAATGAGATGAAGATGAGCTGGAGGCCATCAACTTTTTTCTCTTATTTTTTTCTTTTTTTTTCTTTTTTGGCAACACCAAATGAGGTGCAAAGAGGCCATCAGTTTTTGATAAGAGCTTTTTTAATGGAGTGGTGGAATATGTGCCAGATTTTGGAGTACTTTGAGAAGGGAAAAAGAGGTAAAGAACTGGAGACTCTTTGGAGAAGTGTTATGAGCACATGGATAGAGAAATGAATTAGTAGCTGAAAAGGGATATAGTGAGGGACTCGTGTTCCTGTTATTTTTGTTGTTTTAATGTGAGAGACTAGAATGTATGTTGATGAGAATAAACAACTAGAGAGGCGAGAGATACTCTCTTAGAAAAGAAAAAAGGTTAGAATCTAGATCTCAGAAGTACTAAACACACTTGTTTTTTGAAGAGATCCCAGAAGTGCTAAACACACTTGTTTTTTGAAGACTCCTAGGCTTGATATACTCATTTATTTTTCTTATCACTTTGTCATAGTTAACATAAACATTTTCCTGGTTGACCTTTTAATGTTATTTTTTTGATACAGAGGACACACAGAGTGTCAGCCACCAGTTTTTTCCCTTTGGTTCTTCCAGTTCTCCTAAGTTTAATATTCACTCCGGGTCCAATAAATATTTAGTTCTCCCTTGTGAAGGTCTTGTATTTTTGTTTTTGTTAATGTTTTAAGTTTCATTCACATAAAATTTATTGGAGGGAGGAGCATATCATGAGGTGAAGATCTAAATTAGCTTTTTTATTTTTTTATTTTTTTTTTGCCAAATAGCCAACAATTTTCCACCACCATTTGTTCCTTTCCCCAATGATGTGTGATGCCTTCATCACAGTTTTACTCTCCTTCCTTGCTACTATCTTCCATCCCAGCCCACATGCATTCTTTTCTTTGTCATTGTTGCCTATTTTAACATAATCTTCTAATAATTTAGTCCATTTACAAAATAATTATTTTGGCATTTTGGTGGAAATTGCATTAAACCTACATTTTAATTTGAAAAAAAAAGAGACGGTTGGATTGCATGAAGTACAAAAATGGGGAGACTCATTAAAATCTCAGTGACAGACTTTTGGTTTAGCTTTAAGGACAAAGAGTACAGGTTTGTAAGATGAGCTGAAGTGTAAACATTTTCTTTTCTTATTGGCTGAGCTTTCGGCTTAGTTTGCTGTCCTGGTACCCAGCTTCTGATTTCTGCCTGGGCTCTGATGGCTGTCACCTTGCTGTTCAGTGCAGTGTGCAGACTAGCATCAACAGCATCATCTGGAGCTGGTTAGAAATGCAAACATCTCAGACCTCACCCCAAATCTGCTAAATCAGGATTGTGCATATAAAGGATCTTGTTAAGATGTATTTAAATTTTGAGAACCACTGTTAATCAGCTTAAATTTGATAACCAGTTCCCCTGTGGAGAATTGTTTTGTACCAGGACTGTTAAATTTTATTTTGCAGATGGATACTATCTTTGGAAAACTATTTAATTTTTCCCTTCAAGGTGAATTCTAAAGTATAGCCTGCACAATTTTTTTTGAAAGGGTAATTGCCTGTCTTCCCAAAGGTACAAATCTTCCAAAAATATCCCAGGCCTAAGAAATAACATAGATTGATGGGCCGGCCGCTTGGGAAGCGCGGCGCGCTCCCGGATAGTGCGCCGCTTGGGAAGCGCGGCGGCGCTCCCGCCCGAGGGTTCGGATCCCACATGCAGACCGGTTCCCGCTCGCTGGCTGAGCGAGGCATGGGAGCGGCGCCGGGGGTTGCGATCCCGTTGCCGGTCCCAGTCCGGTGCGGGAGCGACACTGAGGGTTGCGATCCGATGCCGGACACGGAAAAAGACAAAAAAAAAAAAGAAATAACATAGATTGATAAAGGGCATGGCCAGAAGTGGTGAATCCTCCTTCACTGTCGGGTGCAGGTGTTGCGATGGTAACTGGAAAGTCCTTCAGTTTCCCTCATGTCTGTTTTTGATGCCAAAGAGAAAATTGTATTGATACAAGGGTTCTTCAGAAAGTTCATGGAAAAATAGAATTAAAAGGCAATAATGAATCTTTCCATGAACTTTTTTTTTTTTTTTTTTTTTTTTTTTTTTTGTCTTTTTTACTGACCAGCAACGGGATCGCAACCCTCGGTGTTGCGCCCGCACCATGCTCAGCCAGTGAGCGGGAACCGGTCTCCACATGGGATCCAAACCCTCGGTGGGAGCGCCGCCACACTCCCAAGCAGCGCACTCTCCAGTGCGCCACCGGGCCGGCCCTTTCCATGAACTTTTAGAAGTACACTTGTACTGAATCAGCGTAAGTCTGTTTACTACCTCATAACATCTAGGGATTGTGTGAAGCATTTAGGTGTATGGATTAGAGTATAGAATTTGATAGGTCTGGGATTTACAGGCAAACCACTCAAGGATCTCCTAAACCTGCTTCCACTTCCTCAATAATTCTCTCTCCAAATTCCATTTTTATCACAACACAAGATAATCTGTAATAGTTTACTTAGTACTGTTCCACATATTCAATCCAGGCAGCCAGTAAAATACTTCTCAAACTTGTATAGCATAGTTCAAGAAAGGAGCCTTTTAATGTGACACTTGTCTTAGATTGGCTTAACTGCCATATTTAAATTCCATGTCTATCAGTTCCATTTAGCTAAGCAAGCCATATTATGATGGTGGCGATTTAGGCCTAGCTACAGTGAATTGAAAACAAGGCACTTGGATATAGTAAGATTCTTCCCAATTTATCTAATACCAAAAATCTAAGGCTAAATAAAAAACGTTTATATTTATAAATTTGTATTTTTATTTCAAAACAAGGTTGGTAAAAACTTCCTCTTTGTTGTGATCCACCACCAACTGCTAGGCTCACACCAAGCATTTTCCCAATCCTAGCCAACCTCAGCAATTACCAAAGCAAGCAGCATATGCCCAGCATGTCTGTCATTTCCAGGTGCTGGAGCAGACCTCTGGTGTGACAGTTACCATGGTTTGTTTGGCAAGTGTTTCAGCAAGGAAGATTTGTTGCAGAGGTGCAAATTGCAGCCAGTTTACAGCACAATAGCCAAGAATCAAGAAACATGTATCATTAAACCAGGCTTACCCTTATGTGTTTGACTTCTAAACCTATATTGTATGTGAGAAGCAAGTAAGAACTTTGCTTCTTAGTAGGGCCGTGTTCACTGAAGTTTCCCAGGCACCCAGAACAGTGCCTGAAGTGTATATAGAAGATGCTTAGTAAAGATGTGTTGACTGAATGAATTTTGTTAACAGAATTGAGTAAAAATTTGTGATCTCAGCTTAAATTTCAGGTTGTTAATGTACCTTTAGAGCTTCTCTGTTCCCACAGTGAAAATCAGTAGGTAAGAGGAAGTTCTTGGTAAATTGGATGCAAGTTTCAATACAAAACAGGTGTGTACAGGCCTCCTTTTTGGCAAGTAATATCAAAATAGTTGTCAGGTGAAGTGGTTGTTGTCTTCCAATCATAGCTTTTAAAAAAAAAAAGCAAGCACCCACCAAGCTGCCAACATTGATGATGGAAGGGCAATCTTAAGCCTCTGAAAGCAATTTGT